TTCTGAAATTGAAGGAAGGAGGCCTGCTTTCCAAGGTCATCTGGGAGGCCACGTAGGGTTTGGAGAACGAGCTGATTTTCGGTGACCGGGGCGTCCACATCATCTAACCAATCCGCGATATTCCGAAGAGTTTGACAGTAAGTTTGAATGGTGGACGTGCCTTTGATAGTATTGTAGAATTGGTGCTCCAATTGCATTGCTCTGGCTGCCTTGTTGTCATGAAACAAGTTATGTATGGCTTTCCATAAATCTGCCGCGGATGTAGTGGAAGAGATGATGAGATCAGAAACCTCATCGTTGACGGTTGAAAGAATCCATCCTTGAATGAGAGCGTCGAGTTGAAGCCATTCAACATCATCTTTTCCGGCAGAAGTTTTCTCACCGGTGATGAAACCTTCGAGATTGAAGCGTCTGACCAGAAGAAGGAAGAGACGGCTCCACTTCTTGTAATTTGGTTCCGAAAAACTGAGAGTGATGGGAACCTGTAGTTTGACGTTGGACACCGTCGTGAAGGCGAGATGAGGAGTAGGTGCAGCGGAAGTTGAAGAAGAGGGGGATTTTTCTGAAGACATGATGAGAGAAAGAGGGAGGAGATGACCGGTGATTCTTTCGCCGGTGGAAAAGAAAGGGGAAAAATCCGGCGAGCAGAAGAGGGCTGCGCCGAGAGGAAGAGGGGAGGTGGTTCGGGATTAGCCTAGAGTTGGCTCCGATACCATGAAGAATTATGTATTTCCAATGATCACTTTACAATATATTCACCTCCCCTTATATACATGTAGGAGGGTTAAGAATAAGGAAGCTGACATTAATGAGAGATCCTATACAATATGGAATCTACCATAAATAATAATAATATTAAATATGTAATATAACTTGACATATTTAACAACTATTGTTTTGATGTTAAAATTGCTAGAAATCATCCTAAATAGGACTAAAACATAGATAAAAGTTCCAAAATAGGACTTTCATGTTTTTTTCCCGGAATAGGACTTTGCATTGTGGTAATGTGACCTTGCATTGTGGTAATGTGGCAGTGTACATGTGCAAATTACTATGTTTTTTTGGTAATATATATGACCATGGTTCGTAATGTAAGTTCTATTTCGGGAATAAAAACATGGAAGTCCTATTTTGGTATATTTTCAAAGTTTTAGTCCTACTTTGGTCTTTCTCCCATGTTAAAAATATATTTTACCTCTTAAAAGACATAGACAAATTTATAAAGAGTAAATACCAAGATTATATGAATTCTTCATCAAGTGTATTTCTTAGTTATAATGTTGACAAGCGTATGATAAGTCCGTTTCGTTCTCATCCTTTATATCATATTCTAAACGTTAGTACACGTAAACAGTACTGATGGACAATAAATCCACCAAATGATCCGATTCAGGAAGCGGATCGTAAGAATCTAATTAAGAACGAGAACTCGAGAATTGTGTATCTTTTATTAGCCTGATTTAGCTTTAGTTCTCCCCTTTCGGGTCTCCTCTATTTATACATGAGCTCTAGACAATTAAGGTAATGCATAATCAATGGAGAGTCTATCCCGTCAATGGCGCGATCCCCTTTTTCCGGCTTCGTCTCCGCCATTCGGTTCCGTCTCCTCCTCCGGATTGACTCTGCCAGCTGTTCCTGGACCGGAGGTGACCGGGCCTAACTCTATGGGCCGGCCCGAGCCTGGATATCCTCCAAGTGCCTGACCCAAGTTGCTTAAATGATTCATTTGGGCCGCCCGGTGGGTATCGGCCCATCACAAGCCCCCCCAACGCCTCACTCCTCGACTGGGCCAAGTTGAGGAATGGGGAGTTTACGAAGTCCACGTGGGCGCTCCAGCGTGGATCCGGGCCGTTCCTCGGGTTCCGCGTGACATTTGGGCACGATCTCCACGAATAGGTAATCATGACCTGCCGCTTCGCCTTCTCATTGTCAGTTAAAAACCGCCGCCGGACGCCATCTCTTTCTTTCGCTTTCTTCAACATCATTCGTCTGCAATTCCGCTGCTACCCGACCCGTTCTTCTTCCTTTCCAGGTCAGTTCCTTTTCTCGCTGCCATGATTGTTTCAGATTCCGATTCGGCTACCCCATCGTCCAATTCTCGCCAAGCCGATCAATCAGCCTCTGGCCGTAACCCCGGCCACACTCAATCACCCTAGTCATCGCCGTCGGCCGTGTCTGGCCATAAACAGCGTCGATTAAGGAAGCAATTCCCTTCCTCAACCCCGGTAGATGAGGGCTCGAGGGTTGGATTGGACGAAAACATCATGGCGCTGTGCCATTGCCAGATTACTGACCGGGGGTTCGCCGATGCTACTGACATGGTTGGACCTTCCATTGAAGTCCTGAGACCTACCAGCACCCAAACCGCCCTGGACGCTCCTTCAGGGTTCTTCACGGTCCATCTGGCATCTTTAAAGAAGGGGCTGCGCTTCCCACTCCACCCGTTGTTGGTCGAATTCCTCAACGTGGTGGACCTTCTCCCGTGCCAGTTGGTTCCCAACTCTCACCGGTACATCGCCGGTTATCTGGTTTGATGCAAGAATGTAGGGGTGAAGCCCGCCTTGGACCATTTCTTATTCACCTTTAAACTGACCAAGGGCCACAAAGATTGGGCGTCCTATGCCTGTCTCTCCCAGAGGTCCAGTAAACTCTTTGCTAGTGACAAGAAGGGGTCAACCAAAGATTGGAAACCTTTCTTTGTCTTCGTCTCGACGGGGCCCGAATCTCCTTTCACGGGTTCAGGGCGCCCTTCCTTCCGCCGCGTCCCATGCCCCCCACCCGATGCCACCCTTGTATCCATCACTCGCCAACTCTGCAACAAGGGAGTTCTGAACATCAAGGAGGTGGTGACAGAGGAAACCCTTGCCGGGTTGGGGTTCGAGTTCGTCCAGGATGAGCTTCGTCACCAACCCGACCTGCTGAGGGACATTCCCGGGGGGCATCAGCCTGACCAGCTAAAGGACATTCCTGAGGAAGGTCTTGACTGTGGTCCTTTTGGTAATTGACCTTTTCTTTTGCCCGAGTGTTTAGCTTATCTTTTTTCAAGGCTAACCATTTCTCTTGTTTCTAGTGGAATTACAAGATTCAGGAGAAGAGATGGATAGCGAACTCCTACTCAGTCGCTTCACTGCAGGGAAGAAGAGGAAGAGAGACGCGAAGAGCCAAGGCAAGCGTTCTTCCTCCCGCCGAGAAGAGAGTCCTCCCCGGGAGCCAGCTGTGATTGTGGTGGAGGACCAAGATGAGGCTGCCCTGGAAATGGGTACAATGGTGGGCCAGTCCCCTCCCCGCTTAGTGATGCCGGGCGGCGACCTTGCGGGGTCGTCCCAGGGAGCTGCTGCCTCGGAGCGACCTCCCTCGCCGCCAGTAGTGACCTATGAGGTGGCGAGCGGGGGTCGCTCGACGAGGCTCTGCATTCCTCCTCCGCCCCGAAACCTAGGGGATGTGCAACTGGAGACTCTGATCACCCTGCCTGCAGAGGACCAAGCTCGTATCTCAGCAGGTTCTGAGGACGACCTTGACAACATGGTCCTCTTGAGACTTAGTCAGGTACTTGTCTTGATTTCCTTGACACTGATTCTTCCCTTTACATCCCTAATCTCTATGCTCTGGTGCAGGCCACGCTGGGAATGATTGAAGTGGTTGGCAGGTGACAATTGTAGTTTTTCGGGTAGTAAACCTTCCCAGTAAAGGGTTAGTTTTCTCTCCGAGTGTCGTATCTCTCGAGGAGTGGACGAAGGGAATTAGTTTAATTACTCTAACTAGGCGAAGATTAGGATTGGTTTGTGAAAGTCTTCTCGGAATGAATAAAAAGGGAGCAGAGTAAAAATAATAAATTTAGTTTACATAGTATAAGTATAGATCTGGACCTAGGGTCTGGACATCATTTGGATCTATTTTATCATATTAAATTAACAATTGGAATAATATTTCTATTACTACTCATCCATTTCTAGATTTGTACTTAATCCGTTGTTCTTGAATATCGTAGCCTTTTGGCATACAATATTTTCTCAATAAATAGCTAATTAAATCTTTCGACATTAATTAACTAAATAAGGCAAGAGCAATTGACTAACCATTCCAACATTAATTTAACATAAAAAATAAACAACCAAACTAGTCCGGACCCAGAGATCCGGACCCTAACTCATACTATGCAAACATGAATTAAAACATCATTTTATTAAATAAAGACAACTTACAACCTCCGTAAAAGCGGAACAGAACAGATCTGGAGTCAAAACCTCCGGAAAATACTTTAAAACTACTACTAAAACTAATATACAAAGTATTTTAAGCAATTGAGAGAGGGGAACCCGAAATTGGGTTGAGAATAGGTGATAAAAATGAGAAGAATCGTGCTGTATTTATAGGAACGAAGCCAAGGCGTCCAAGTCAAAGCGTCCAAGTCCAAGCGTCCAGATCTGGACGCCTGAGCTGTCCCGGCCAACCAGATTTTGCCACGTGTCATTCTTGGGCTGCAATTAAGCCAAAGCGTCCAGCTCCCAAGCGTCCAACTTGGCCAAGCGTCCAAGTTGGACGCCTTGAGGCCTTGGTCCGTTGGGCTTCGCGGTTGTTTCGTGATTTTGGCCCAATTTTGCTCCGTTTTGGCCCCGAACACTGTTTTTGACCTCCCGGAAGCTCGTTCAAGCCCGAATCTTGATCCTTTGATGATTTATTCCCTTTTTCTCAAGTATTTGAACATAAATAGATGATTTATGATAATTTCATGTGGAATCCCTTTTCATGACTCTTAGAACGAAAATGAGAGTTTTATTCATTGAAAACACATTTTATGAGATGATTAAATACTATTTACGTGCAATAACGTTTAGAATATGATGTAAATGATAAGAACGAAACGGACTTATCAGCAGGAAACGGGGTCGCCAAGCTGCCTCGGACGAAGCGATGAAGGCAGCCGAGGCCAAGCAGACGGAGTTGCAAGAAGAGGTCGCCCGCCTTACAAGGGAGTTGGAGGAGAGGGAGATTCGCTGTGCCGCCCTTGAGATGGAGAAAGCTTCCCAAGAGGACCGCTGTGTCGCCCTTGAGGCAGACAAGGCCTCATTATCCTCTGAGGTGGAATTTGTCTCTGCTCGTGTGGTCGAGCTGGAAGGGGAGAAGTCTGACCTGATCCGGCAGTTGGAGAGGGAGAGGAGCGACCGGGTCCGCCACGCAGAGGAAGCGGTAGAATCCTTCAAGTCCTCTCCTGATTTCACGATGGTCGCGATGGAGCGGATGGACAAGCTAACAGCTGCTTGGCTCCAAACTGAACCTGTGGCTCAATGGATGGTCAAGGAAGGGACCAAGTCCTTCAATTGCGGACTCTTTCGCGCCCCACAAGTTTTCTGTGACAGACTAGCTCAGCTCCCCAAAGGATTTTCTCTTCCCGACCTTGGCTTCCCCCCTCCCTGCCGCTCCTTGGCCGAGTTCGACCCCAGTTCTTACTTGGACGGAGGGAGCTCGAGTGCCTCTGAAGGAGAAGAAGAAGAAGGAGAAGAAGATGCTCCAGGCGACCAGAATCCGGGGGCTAGCTTAGCCACGTCCAAGGCGGGTGGAAACCCCAGCTCGAGCGTTTAACCCCCCTTGCTGTCCTCTTTCAGTTTGTTAGACACTTGTAATTTTTCCTTCGGAATGGCTTGTCGTTTTGATACAATGCTCCCATGTAATTTGACTTGCTGGATTCACCATGTGCCTCCCTTTTTCAGCGTCTTACTTCAGCACTCTCTTCTTTAGTTTAGCGGATTTACATGTATGTTTTAGTTTGGGCCCAACTTCTAATCCCGGCCCGATTATCTGACCAGGCCCAATCTCAGGATTGGCCAGCGTGCCGCCCAACTGACCCAATGCCCCTTACAGTCTCTGATTGGACCTTCGCGCGGCTCGACGCTACTTTATCGGTTCAGTTGCCTTGGGACTTGACCGTCTCTTCGGTTTCTTCGCCTGGGCTTATTTATAAGCCCCCTAGCCCTCATTTTGTTCCATCACCAAATAATTTTCTTTTCTCCATCTTTGTCATGTCTGAAGGAATTCTTGTTTCTCTGAATCTTTCCGATGGGCCGGCTCCTTCTTCGCCGGAGCCTGCCTCCTCCCCCAAGTCAGTCAATTCCAATGACTGGGGGGCTAGACCCTTACAAATTCTATCGCCGATTGCCTCGCCGGCAGTGGCCGCTGGTGAAACCGCCGCCAGTACCACCAAACCCTTATGAAGACTTCAATGAGGCGTACAAGGCCCTCTCCGCCAACCGTCTGCCCGACGGGCGGATTGACTGGGATGCCCCATGCCCCCTCGATTCACTGCAATGCATGGCCTAGGAGAGCTTCCACGATGAGCACTTACCCCTCTTGGAGCATGAGTGCGCATATTACGCAAGTCTGGAGCGATGGACTAACGAAAGTCGCACCAGTTCACCAATGAAGCCTAAGGATGAGGTTGTGTTGGGGGAGAATTGGGTTCTTCCCTACCTCGCCCCGCTGGTCGCTCACCTCCCCGGAAGGCCCCTAGGCGACCTGGGGTAGCACGAGCGTCTTCAGGGTCTGCATCCTCGTCTAAGTGATGCTGGTTGGAGTTCACAGAAAGGTGAGCCGCCCTCTGTCCTTCCTTGGTAGGAGAAGGACGGTGAGTTTTGCCGAGGCTGGGGGCGACCATTCCCGTTCCATGATGGGGAAGAAAGGTGGTCGCTCTGGACGGCCGGTGATAGGAGTTCTGCCGGCCTATACAGCTGCAGAACTACCCTTCAACCTTGCCTGTTCCCCCTGGATCCTTCATCCTTTCTGGGCCTCAGCTGCTCACAAAGTTCAAGATTTTCCTTGTAAGAAATGTACGGGAAAGCATCCCTTCTTTTGAAAGTATGTAGAGATTGTTCTCAACTGTATTGTAGTAGATGCAAGAGATTATCCTTGAAATGTAATGAACATTTTCATGCATGTATTTTGATGTTACCTGTTTACTTACAAGTTTCATCTTCTTCTCTTTCACATCTCATTTCAAGCGTTCCGGTTTCCTCAGACCTTAACAAGAGAATACCTCGCCTTTTTTTTGACTTAGCCGTTTCCGGGTTATTTTAAACCTTATGGCGTCGCCATACCTCCCAGGTCCCCTGATCGCTCATGCGATCAGCAGATCTTATGTTCCAGACTTAGCCGTTTTTTCAAGCTTTCTTGCCACGACGTCGCCCTCTGGTTAGTCGCGTTGCTTGTCAACCTTCAATCTTGGTCGCTTGACAGGGTTCGACACTTCACCCCCTGTTGGGTATCTTAGCGCGAATCACCATACAGCTTAGGCTTAGCGATCTCTTTTGGTCGCTCCTTTTTTTTTCAAGAACTGTAGACAAGATATGTCAGGATGCTGGTTTTATTAAACTTTAAGAGAGAAATATGGCTGGAATACAATCTATTGGTAAAATTTAATAAGGTTGGCGGCATTCCATACTCGTGGAACGTCGCCTCCGGATGGTGTCTGCAATCTAAATGTCCCATCGGCCAACACCTCCTTTATGATATATGGCCCTTCGAAGCTCTTAGAAAACTTTCCTCCATCGGTCGGCCGACTGACCTCTCTTTTCCTAAGGACCCAGTCGCCTACACTGAACTGCCTTGGTCGCACTCGCTGGTCGTGATATGACTTGACCTGTCGGCGGTAGTTCTCTGCCCGTATGTACGCCCTTTCGCTTCGCTCATCAATGAGGTGCAGTTCTACCCTCAAGTTTTCTTCATTCTCCTGGGCGTCAAACGTCTCCACTCTAAAACTCAGCAACGAGGTCTCCGCTGAGGCCCTTGCTTCAAATCCATATGTGAGCGAGAAAGGAGTTTCACCTGTGGCCTTTCTCGGGGTAGTTCTGTAGGTCCACAAGATATAGGGCAATTCCTCCACCCAGGCACTTTTGCATTCCATTATCTTCTTCTTGAGCCCGTCCACGATGGTACGATTAGTGTTCTCGACCTGCCCATTGGTTTGGGGGTACCCGACCGCTGCATAGCTGTGTTTTATGCCCCAGCTCTGTAGAAACTCATTGAAGCCTCTGGCCTCGAACTGGGTTCCATTGTCGGTGATGATCTGCTGGGGCACCCCAAATCGGCACAAGATTTGCTTGGACACAAACTTCCTCATCTGCTCTTCAGTGATGGTTGGCACAGGGGCAGCCTCGACCCATTTGGTAAAGTAGTCAATTGCGACCACCAGGTACGTACTGTTTCCTGTTCCTCTGGGCAAAATACCGACCAGATCAATACCCCACCGAGCAAAGGGAATCGCCGTGCTGATCGGGGTATAATTCGTCGTTGGTCGCCCTGGCACCTTTTGAAATTCCTAGCAGACTTTGCACTTACACACGTATTCTGTGCAATCTCTGATAATCGTTGGCCAAAAATATCCTTGTAGGCTTACCTTCCTGGACATCGTGAAAGCTCCCTGATGTGCTGAGCATATCCCTTCATGGATTTCCTCCATTAACTTCTGTGCCTCGCCCGCTCTTAAACACCTCAACAATGTACCATTGTACGATCGCTTGTACAACCGACCGCACTCCAGCGTGTAGCTGGGTGCACGCCGCTTTACCACCTTTGCTGCGATTGGGTCGGTAGGTAGCGACCCGTCAAGGATGTACATGGTAATCTCATCAATCCAATCCGGCTCTTTGAGCATGATGACCAGCACTTGTCCGGGACTGATGCTTGGCTCGAGCAATTCTTCTTCCTGGGTCATTGCCTTAATATGATCTGGGGAATCCGGGCCAAGCTTTGACAAGATATCCGCCTCAGCATTCTCTTCTCGAGGGACCTGCTCTATCCGGTACGCTCCAAACGCTTTAAGCAACTCCATGGCGGCGTCTCTATACTTCTTCATCTGCTCATCCTTGGCCTCAAACTCTCCAGTGACATGGCCTACTATTAGTTTGGAATCGCATCGGACTTGGATTCGCTCAGCTTTTAATGAAGCTGCCAGCCTCAATCCGCAAAGCAGTGCCTCATATTCAGCCTCATTGTTCGAGACTTTAAACCGAAATCTCACGGAGTAGTATGCTTTGAACCCTTCCGATGATATTGCCACGACACCTCCCCCTGAAGCATCAGTCGCGGACGAACCATCAGTGTAGACAGTCCACCAGCTCCCTTCGGGTTCTTCTCCACTGGGCTCCACCTCTCTTGCGGTGCATTCTACCACGAAATCTGCCAACATCGCCGGTCGGGGCTTGAACTCTATCTGAAAACATCCCAGGAACACTCCCATTTGCTGACCCGTGACGGGGCATTTGGGCTTCGAAGAAGTGTCTCGATAGGAATTTGAGATAACACATGGACTGGATGGGCTTGAAAATATGGGGCGAGCTTTTTCACCGTACATACCACCGCGAAGATGGTTTTTTCCATGTTCGTGTACCTCAGCTCCGCCCCTCGCAGCACCCGGGCCACATAGTACACAGGTTGCTGTACGCCCTCCTCCTCCCTCACAAGCACCGAGCTCACAGCTCGAGGGGAGATTCCTAAGTATAGGAATAGGATCTCTCTGGTCTCTGGCTTCGAAAGCACCAGTGGAGAGAGGAGGTATGCTTTCAACCCTTCAAAGGACCGTTGACATTCTTCAGTCCAGACAAACCCTCTGCTCTTCTTAATGGTCTGAAAGAAAGGAGCCGCTCGATCAGCTATTTTTGACAAGAAGCAACTGAGAGCAGCAATCCTGCCGGTGAGCTGCTGGACCTCTTTCACATTCCGCGGAGGTTCCATCTCTAAGATTGCCTTCACCTTCTCCGGGTTAAGCTCAATCCCTCTCCGGCTGACCATGTGTCCTAGGAACTTGCCCCCTGAACCCCGAATGTACACTTCTTGGGGTTAAGGCGAAGCTAGAACTTCTTCATGATCTTGAACACTTTCTACAGGTCACTGGCATGGGACTCCATCCGCTGGGACTTGACGATCATGTCGTCCACATACGCTTCCATGCACCCCCCTAGCACTGGCGCGAACAGTTTGTTGACCATCCGTGCATAGGTCACCCCAGCATTCTTCAAACCAAAGGGCATCACCTTGTAACAATACACCCCATTGGGGGTGATGAAAGCAGTCTTCTCTTCATCCGCCGCGGCCATCTTGATTTGATGATACCCACTAAACGCGTCCATGAAGCTCAACCGTTCACACCCTGCCATCTCATCCACCAACTGATCAATGTTGGGTAGAGGGAAAGGGTCCATCGGGCAGGCTTTGTTTAGGTCGGTGTAGTCGACGCACATCCGCCAGGTGTTTCCTTTGGGTGCGAGGACTACATTTGCCAGCCAATCCGGGTAGCGGACTTCCCGGATATGTCCAATGGACTGCAGGGTTGTCACTTGCTTGGTGACAAATTCTCTCCTTTCCGAGGACAGGAAACGCTTCTTCTGTTTGACTGGTCTGTAGGCTGGGTCCACTGCCAACCTGTGGCAAATTATCTTCGGGTCGACCCCCGGCATGTCCTCTGGGCCCCAAGCGAATAGCACTTTGAACGCTTGGAGGACCTCCAATAACTGCCCCTTTAGTCTAAGTGGTAAGGTCTTACCTACCTTTACCTTCCGCTCTGGCTTGGTCGGATCCAAAGAAACTTCTTCGACTTCTTCTGCCGGCTCAGCCCGAGGTTGCCCCTCTTCCTTTTGGATTGCAGCACAGATCGTGCTCACATTCTCGTCGACCCGTGCTTGGCTTTTGGTCGCCCTAACGTAGCACGACCCTGACAAGCTCTGGTTCCCCTTTGCCACCCCCACCCCTGTGGGGGTGTTAAACTTCAGGCACAGGTGGACGGGGGAGATTACGCACTCCAGGTCCTCCAACCCTGGTCACCCCAGAATCAAATGGTGTGCACAGTTGAGCTGCACTACCATGAATTCCATGTCGATCCAGAGTCGGTGGGTGCCATCTCCTACCCCGGCCCTCACCGTGATAGTTCCTTCAGCTTCGATAGTATCCCCTGTGAACCCTGACAGTGGCGTATGGATGGGTTTCAGGTCGCTCCTAGACAACCCCAATTCCTTAAAGGTGTTGCTGTACATAACGTTGACCGAGCTGCCCGTATCGACCAAAGTTCGGTGGACAACCACATTATTGATCTCTACCTTTATCACCATAGCGTCTCTGTGAGGGCTGAGGACTGGTGGATAATCCTCGTCCGTGAAGATCAGGGGATCCTTCTTCTTCCGCTTAGGTAGCGGCGGCCTTTGTACCTCGGCCAAGTACACCATGTTCTTCCACTTCTTCCGTGAGGATACCGAATCTCCTCCAGTATTTCCTCCCATGATGAACCGACACCCTAGGTGTCGGTGACCCTGCCTCTCTTCCTCATCTAGGTCGTCACAATCTCTCCCCAAATGTCGTCGTCCATCCTCCTGCCCCTCTCCCGCCGTGATCGCCGCTGTGGGGGCTGGGGGTCTCCTCCAGGTCCGGTTACTTGAGGATGGTCGCTCCGACCGAGGAGGCGGCCCCCTGGCGATCAACTGATCCATCTCCTTCTTCAGCGTAACGCACTCCGACGTGTTGTGGGTGCTGTTACGGTGGTACTCGCAGTATTTGGGTGCATCTCCCGACTGTGAGGAGGGGCAGGCAAAGACTGTACCGCATGAACAGGATGTCTGTTCGCATGATACCCGGTGGGGTTCGGCCCCTTACCGTAGTCCTTCCTCTTCTTTCCTTCTGCCGCCGGTGGCCCGCTTTTCTTCTCCTTCCGGGCTGGCGGCTCATCGTCTTCTTCTTCTAAGGCCAGGTATTTCGCTCTGGCCAACATCTCCTGATAGGTCGGGAGAGGATTTCGTCGCAGCTCCTTGCGCACATCCCCTTGGGGGAGTGCAGCTTGGAGCATGGCGATCAGGGCTTGGTCGTCCGCCCCTTGGACGTCCCTGGCCTCCTTTTCCCACCTATTAATGAATTCCCGGAGCTGCTCTCCCTTCCGAATCTTCACATTGAGCAAGTGAGAAGGGGAGCTTTTATCTTCGGCTAGATGCGAAATGCTCCAAGAACTTGTGGGCTAGGTCGCTCCACTTATCTATCGATCTCTTGGGTAACTTGTGGAACCACTCACAAGCCTGCCCTTCAAGTGTCGCCAGGAAACACCGACACTTGATTTCTTCTAGGTACGCATACATGACCACGTTCGCCCCGAAGCGAGCAAGATGGTCTTGGGGGTCAGTCGTCCCGTTGTACGCCTTGATTTGGGGAGTCTTGAAATTGTCCGGGAGGGGACAAGACATTATCCTTCTTGAGAAGGGTGTTACCTCGCTGAAGACCGCCTGGCGGTAGGGATTTTGGGCGTCCATCCGCTTCTCCAATTGTTCGTACATTCTCCACAGCTCGGCTGCACCCTTGTCCTCGACTGTCGTCCGTCGCTCCTCAGAACCGATCTTGGAGGTTGCTGTGGATTCCCCTCTTTTCTCCTTGAGCGTATCCCTCAAGTCGCCCTTTCGAGCCGACTGAGTGTCCTGCAACCATTCGAACGCAGAGGTCCGGGGTTTCTTTGACTTGGGATCTCCCAAACGGTCAAAAGCAGACATCCGCTCGAAGGAGGACGACTCTTCATCCAATCTAGAGAGCGCATCTTCCATCACAGCCTTCCCATTAGGCTTGGTCGCCTTCTTTTTCTGGGATCGCCTCACCTTCTTCTTTTTCCCTTGAGAGCCCGCAGGTCCAGCCTTCCCGCCTGCGGGTCCCCCAACCACATCCTTCACCACAATCTCGCGATTGGGTGTAAGTGCTGCCAGCACCTCCTTGAATTGCTCAGCTGTGATTCCGACCCTCTGGATGAGGGCCTCTGCCTCCCCCGTGGTGATGGGGGGGCGCCGACCTCCAGTGGCGCTGTTTTCTCCCTGGTTGGGAGCTCCGGTACCAACGTTGGCGTTGCTGCGTGTTTGCACCATCGTATTGGTGGAGGGTTTCCTCTGAGTATGATTCTTGAACTCTCAATGAGAGCACCAATTTGATGGACAATAAATCCACCAAATGATCCAATTCAGGAAGCGGATCGTAAGAATCTAATTAAGAACGAGAACTCGAGAATTGTGTATCTTTTATTAGCCTAATTTAGCTTTAGTTCTCCCCTTTCGGGTCTCCTCTATTTATACATGAGCTCTAGACAATTAAGGTAATGCATAATCAATGGAGTCTATCCCGTCAATGGCGCGATCCCCTTTTTCCGGCTTCGTCTCCGCCATTCGGTTCCGTCTCCTCCTCCGGATTGACTCTGCTAGCTGTTCCTGGACCGGAGGTGACCGGGCCTAACTCTATGGGCCGGCCCGAGCCTGGATATCCTCCAAGTGCCTGACCCAAGTTGCTTAAATGATTAATTTGGGCCGCCCGGTGGGTATCGGCCCATCAAGTACTTAATCATATCATAAATTGTATTTTTAGTAAGTAAAACTCTCTGTTTTCGTTCTAAGAGTTGTAAAAAGGAATTCCACATGAAATCATCAGAAATCATCCATTTTATTATCAATTCAAATGCTTGAGGAATAGGAAATAAATACGTAAGGACTAAGATTCAGGCTTGAACGAGCTTTCGAGAGGTCAAAATTGGTGTTCGGGCCGAAAAGGAGCAAAGTCGGGCCAAAATCTCGCACCAGCCGCGAAGCCCAACGGACAAAGGGTCTAAGGCGTCCAACTTGGACGCTTGGAGTCAGACGCCAGACATAACTTGCGCTCCAGGAAAGACACGTGGCAAAACCTGGTTGGCCGGAACAGCTCAAGCGTTCTGATCTGGACGCCTGACGCTTTTACTTGGACGTCTCGGACTCTGTCCTATAAATACAGCGCGATTCACCCCATTCCATAATCACTTTTCAGTCCCAATCCCGGGATTAGAGCTCCACATTTCAATTCTGTATTTTAGTTTAGCGTATTAGTAGTTTTAGAATATTTTACGGAGAAATTCTGCTTCAGTTCTATTCTTCTCCGCTTTTACGGAAGTTCTAAGTTTCCTTTATTTAAATGTCGTTTTAATTTATGTTTGCGTAGTATGAGTTAGGGTCTGGATCTCTGGGTCCGGACTAGTTTGGTTGTTTATTTTCAATGTTAAATTAATATTGGAATGGTTAGTCAATTGTTCTTGCATTATTTAATTAATTAATCTTGAAAGATTTCATTAGCTATTTATTGAGAAAATATTGTATGCCAAAAGTGCTATGATATTCAAGTGCAACGGATTAAGTACGAGTCTAGAAATGGATGAGTAGTAATAGAAATATTATTATTCCAAATTGTTAATTAAATATGATAAAAAATAATTCCTAGACTTAATAAAAAATAAAAGGTTTTCGGAATCTTCACTTTATTTCAGAAATTCTATGTAGGGGTGAGCGTTGATTTTTATCGCCGTAAATTTCTTGATACGCCTCTTTGCTTTTCTCGATACAAAAAATAAATTTTCGATCATCATTTATCAAAACAAAAAAAATCCAGAATATATAAAAGGGGTTTGAACTCATGTCCAACATCATGAAAATGAACCAATAAACACCTCTGTTGGACAAAATTTAAAAATGTTTAATTTGAGACAAATGAAGTGTACACGTACTAATTCTTGTTATTGAATTGAATTTTATTGCAAACACAAAAAAATTGATTATTAATATATTATAAAAATAATTTAAAAAAAAATTAAAAAACATAGAGGCTAACGGCACACATTTACCAAACCAGAGAGGGTCATGGTGCATTAGTATTCACGAAATATTGGAAACTTCCCAATCTTCAAGGAACAAATCAAGGATATGATATGTGTAGAGGAGACCATAGTAGTTTATGCTATATTCCTCTGGCATTTTCAAAGCAACCTTAAAATTAAATACACCATTGGTCACAACTTGAGCTACATGCTATCCTCCTCAATTTCTTCTTCCATGGAACCCAATAAAAAAGGAGGAGGACATACAAAAAAAACTTGGAAAACAAAAAAATATAAGATGAAAATACCCAAATTAGAAGGCACACATAAGAAGGAATTGAGACAAAGGAGAAGATGCTAGGGTGGATTGAGACAAAAAAAATTGTACGTATATGTAGGAGTGGATTGTCACCCAAAGAAGAAGATGCTAGGGTGGATTGCAGGAGCGGTTAGGGGAACGATTTCGGGGTCCAATTAAGCACTATAAATGATCCACTGTGATAGTGGTAGCCACTGTTAAAAGAATCAAGCTCGGGAATGTGTTTAATTAAGACACGTGAAAGTTTTTTGTTCGGTATGACATAGCATGTTAAAATACAAGCTAATGCATAATTGATGCTCTTATACCCCGGGATGCTCCTACAAACCTTGTGGCCACGCCACAAATTTTAAAAAAAGTCAAGGGGTTAATGATTAAGTGTTATGATCCATTTTGGGTTGAATTCATTTACTTTACCCATCTGAAAACCCAAACCATAACCCTTCTCCCAAAACCCATCCTAGGGTCGAACCCCTACAAACCAATGTTGAAAATAGGGTAAGTATTTATGGAGGAACAACGCTGCGTAACACCGTTACTAGGTATAATGTAACGTAAAATGACTTGATAGACTAAACGAATCGCGTGAAATCACGCTTTCAGATTAAAGTTATTTCGGGTATACCACAATACGTAATCGAATAAGACGTTAGTATATAGAACGAGTATGGACTTCCTTTTTTCTCAAACATACCATGCAAGCCCATAATATAGGCATTTGGGCGATCAGATGTGACCGTTGGCCTTATAGACGTAACCCGTGGGGAAAATCTTATCTTTTGAGGAGTTTCCAATTCGAACTATTTGAATAAGTAGCAACTTATTCGACTAATTCGGGCTTTCCAAAAAACCAGGCATGTGTTGACCTATTTGAATAAATGGGCATTTATTTGAATAGTTGGAGTTCTCCAAAACTAGAAACCATTCAAATATAACTCACTGTTTTAAGCTTTATTTGAGTACGTTTTTCACATGTTTGAAAATTACATGTTTTAGACTCCGATTATGAAAATTTGAAGAATTTTCATAAAGCGATAATGTCCAAAATAAGGATTTTTAGCTTGACCCCAGCCAGGGGCTCTGCCCCTTGGACCCCTCCAAGGGCTGCCACCCCCGGACACCCGTCGTGGAATTTCTAATATATCGTTGAACGAGCGTGCACTCCGCACCTTCTAACTCGTTAACAACGTCTATTAAAATTCCTATGCAATCGTAAATTAATCCAATTACATAAAATAACCGATGACACTAAAATCACCAACACCCAAAACCCTCCCTAACTTCCAAAACGTGTTTTATCTCCTTTTGATATTCAAAATATATTCTTTTCTCTCCTTTTTACAGCATTGGTTGAAAATGAGAATTAAAAGACAAAGCAAAAATTTTGTGTGTTGTTTTCTTTCCTTTTTAATTCCTTCATTTAATAATAGTACATTTCCCCACTCTTTCCTACACCATATCCATGAAATTCCCTCCCATATTTGTCCAAAAATCAGGCCATATTATTCTCATACCAAGACAAAACACAAAAGACAAAACAAAAATATTGTGTGTTGTTTTCTTCCCTTTTTAATCTCTTCATTGAATAATACCTTTCCCCACTCTTTCGTACACCATATCCACGAAATCCCTTCCCATATTTGTCTAAAAAATCAAGCCATATAAATCTCATATCAAGATGACGAAGCTAAATATAGCGGTAAGTCAATAAATTAACCGAGATTGACTTGGGTCGTCTCACAAGGATTGACGAAGGGAAGTATTTGTTAATTAACTTTATATTTTAATAAATCAAAATTCAATCAATGATTAAGAGCAAAACTTAGAACAATCAATGTTTAAGTAGAAAAAGTGCAATAATAAAATTAATTTAATCAATAATTCGAAGGCATGTATGCATCGAACAAGTATATGGACTATAGTAATAATCTCATATTAAATTAGCTTCTTGATAATTAGATTTTGATTCATTAACTTATCCTAATTTTATGTCTCATTAATGTGTCTAAATATGGTTGCCTAGATTATTTTCCTAACTCATAGACAAGCCAAATTAATAATCTCCAAGAATTAATTAATAGATTGGCGAGATCCATTAATTAGTTAATCTCATTTTAGACAAATATTCTTATTAGTCAAGTTACTAATCACACTTTAATTAAATAGATTAGCCCATAACTTTCTTTCAATTCATACCTATTGATGATTTAGCCACAGAATTCCATAATAACAATCAAGAAAAACATATAATAAAAACACTAATTTAAACTATTAAAAGAGAAGTACAAAAGAAAGCTTACAAGTGTTGGCGACTTAAAACACAACTCTCGAACTGCTCGACAATGATATTATAGTCAAAAGGGGAATTATTTTCGTACAAAAGGAGAGAAGAAAATGGATTTTTGGTGTGATGGTGAAGGGAATGGCCGAGTGGGTATTTATACTCGAGCAGACCTCACAGGCGGGCAGACAGGCCCCCACCGCCGATTTGGAACAATCTGGAACGCTGGAAGCTTCTCGTAAGTCGATAGGTGGGCACGCAGGCCGCGTGCGAGCCCGCTGGAGCCCAATTTGTCCACCAGAGCATGGGTTCGCCGCCTGCGCGATCTTCGCTGTTTGAACCGTGTCGATAAGCGGCCAAGTAGGCTGCCTGGTCGCTTGTCGTCCTCTCGGTTTCTTTGAACCATTTTGCTTGAAATTTGATTCTGGACACGTTTCTCTCTTGCTCTAACTTCAAATTTCATTCCAGCAAAAAGATATAACTAATTTCTTGTTGAAATCAAACATTTTTTATCTTTTCTTGGCCCATTCAATTTTACTACTTTAAACATAAAAATATAACTTTTAATTGAAAAATATTCTTTAATAAGATGCAAAGTTGCTCTTAAGTTAAAAAAATGTGTTAAATGTGAGGATAAAATTATGTATAAAATGAGTTTATCACAAGACAAAACACAATCCACACTAGAAAACAAAGTCACGAGAGTCGAGACAAAATCCTTGATTGAAAAGATATGTCTTTTGTCTTGTGTAATTTATCCATGGCCTTGATTCCATCATCTCCCTTTGACAATTTCTCCCCCACATGGCCAAATATGCCCTCCCACATCAAACAAAGCACCATTCAACTCCATAATCAAGGTCAAAAGATTCAACAAACAAATCCTTGATTGAATGGTGATTTGCCTTTGTCTTGTTGTGCAATCTGGTCAAGCCTCCCTCCTTCCTTATGTCCCATTCACATAGCCGAGTTTCACATCCCAAATGGAGCCAAATTATTAGCCCTAAAAGTCCTTAACCTTGGTCAATGAGTACACCCATTAAGGATAAAACAAATAGACATTAATCACTTGAAATGTGGGAAGGTGGTAGGAAATTTCCTTGCTGTTTTGCTCTATATATTTCAGCCATTGTAATAGCATCTCATTTTGTAATTCTTGGAGTGTATTTCGAGTTAGAGTTAAGCTAATTCAACAAATTTCTTAATGAAATATTTTAAAGTTGCTAGTTTTGAGTGTGTGTTAGGTGTCTCTTTTATATATTACTAGTGACTATTATTGTGTGAAATAGATAACAGCCCCAAATAAAATCAAGTGTTTTTATCTCTTAATAATCTTTATTTGGTTTATCCCTTTATATCAAAAACACAAAAAAAGAATCCCCTTCTCTACTCCGTGTCTCGGCCAGCCCCTCTCCCTTTTAACATACATCATTTCTTGTCCCCAAAACCACTTATTTCTCTGATCTCCTTTTTCTTCCCTCTTTTACACAGCCTACACCTCTCCCATAGGCCATAACCCACCTTTCTCCCTTCACCATTTCAAGTCTGAAAACATACCCTTCACTACCCTTTTTTCATCTCTTATAATCTGCCCTACTTATATCTTAAGCCATCTTAAGCTTGGGTATAAGAGATGCAAAACTATTGTCTACGCTAACCTAATACACAAAAACTGAAAATCTAAAACGTAAATACAAAGATATGAACTACATTCATTATTACTGGATGAATGATTTTAATAAAACTTTAAAAGGCAAGGGTTATTCTAGCAATATATTTTCACAAGTTTTATTACTATTTCCTAAAGAAATGAAAATACTGCTCATTTTTCAAAGTGACCAAAGCACATTGGGAATGTTCTTGAGTTCTTGACTAATATTTACTTTAACAGTAGCAAATTTTTCGAAATGTATTATGCTTTCCAAGGGCAATTATTCAAATGTAAAATGAAGCGAAAACATCTTTCCAAATATCTCACTTTAAATTCCAACAATAGCACATGGTATTGGTACTGACATTAACTAATTCAATAATTTCTGTTTCTAAAAGAAAATTCAGACCATTTATCCTATCTGAGGCATCACATAAAAATTAGTTCAGACGGTGTCTTAGCAACAATGGAGAGTGCATGCAGTCCACTCTTCAGCTCCTCTTGCAACAAATCATATATCAACCTATGCCTCTTGACCAAACTCTTCCCCTCAAACTTTTCAGAAACTGCTGTCACATTGAAGTGTGTTTCTCCACCACCGGTGCCCCTAATTCCAGTATGGCCACCATGCTGATACGATACATCTTCAACGTGTAACTCAGAAGGGCTGAGCTCCCTCTCAAGTCTATCCCGGATTCTCATCCCTCGACTCCCTAGAACAACATTATCATGTGATACTGCTTTGCTATCACTGCCATCAGTCTCCTCAGTACTCACTTTAGTCTTCAAATCTGGACTCCCGTCATTGTTAGTCACTCCCAAATTTGATCTCTCAGTTGGCTTGCTCACACCCTCAAAATGATAAACACTATCATGTGATACTGCTTTGATATCACTGCCCTTAGTCTCCCCAGAACTCACTCTGGACTTAAAATCTGGATCACCATTATCACTAGTCACTCCTAAATTCGAGCCCTCAGTCAGCTTACTCGCACCCTCATTATGACTGAAACTTCCAGCTTTTTCAGCTTCCACACACATCTGAGCTTTTCTCTGCATCAGCTTGAGCATATTCAAAAGCCCATTACTTCTAGATTGTGTTAAACTCTGTTGCAATCCGAGACGTACCATAAAATTGGGTGATACCCTCAAAATTTTCTCAGCAGAGCAGCCTGAAAGTCCTTGAACCAGCAAAGCTGCAAGGCCCTTAGTTAACACCGTGTCAGAATCAGCCTCAAAGACGACACATTTATTTTCATCAAGATATGCCCTTATCCAGACCTGTGAGATGCACCCATGAACCTTATTCTCGGCAGTCTTATACTGAGCATCCATAGGTTTCAAATTCCTCCCATAAAACATAAGCTGTTCGTACTTAGCCTTGGGCTGCTCCACTGCTTGGAAAAGCTTGACTATCTCTTTAAGCTTTTGGGGCAAGTCATCATCACCGGGATTTGAAGGTGATGAAGGTCCAGTTGGAATTGCAGAGATTGGTTTCGTTGGAATACTCTGAAAAGTAACACGCTTGACGAAGATGAACTTTCCAGAAGTTGCACTTGAGGTTTTTGAATTGAAAATTTTCAGAAATGGCTTGCAAAAAAGAGGGTTTGGGATTTTTGTGGCATAAGACATGGGGAGTTGATGAGAGGGAACGGAACTGAGTTTGTATAGGGGGTATGGTCTAGAAAGATTATGAATTGATAAAGAATAGGGATACTAATTTCAGAAAAGATGTGTGCCAAGAAGAGATTGTTGAACTGCTGATGCTTTTATCTCATGCCCCAAATATCTGTCAGCAGCAACAATAATTACAAACAACAACAAAACTAAGCTTCAAGCATCATTGATAATTAAAACATTCAAAACAGGTTAAAAGGACAACCAAACTAGCAGTCCAAATGGAAAAGGCGCTATTGATTCGGATTAAGTATTTTGAATAATGTTTCAGCTATGCTTGAAAAGAAATGTGCCAAAAGAGATTGTTGAACTGCTGACGCTTTTCTTCTCATGCCCCAAATATCTGTCAGCAGCAACAATAATTACAAACAACAACAAAACTAAGCTTCAAGCATCACTGATAATTAAAATATTCAAAACAGGTTAAAAGGACAACCAAACTAGGGGTCCAAATGGAAAAGGTGTTAGTGATTCGGATTAAGTATTTTGAATAATGTTTCAACTATGCAAAATTGCAAATTGAAACTTTTAAAAGGGCTAGACCTAAAGGCTAGCATTGGATAGCTTTTGTAAAAAGAAAAAGCTAATACCAAATCAACACAAATTGCAAATTGAAACTTGAACAATGTATACTATATAGGGATTAATGGCGTGGAACATGAATTTAAAACTTCAGCCTGGCATTAATCAATCAAGTACAGCCGCACATGAATACTCGATGGGACAAAACCAATCCAACCAGCAAAAGATGAATTATGTACTGGATATTTTTAATAACAAAAAAACTACAAATTAAAAATCAGCACACACTAATCAAATAGAAGAAAACAATGAAAGGAGGAGGTAGGTTGTGAGATGTGACTGAGGCGACAGGGCCGACACGGAAAATTCTTGTCATGGGTTCCCAAACATGAAAATGTAAATCTAGAGTACACGTGTCAAACATTAAGTAAAGAAGTGATCTATGAAATAAAAACTTACATATAATGTTAATAATCAGAGTTAAATTGATAATCAATAATAGATCTTTCAAATGTATGTGTCTACTTTTCATATTTTGAAAGTGAGACATGATCGTTAATGGTAGCAAAAACATCTCTATGTATGCAATTAGAGAGATGTCTCGATTTAACCATTGTAATTCGCTCTCTTAACCCCGGATCAACTTCTCAAGATTCAAAATCATGATTCTCTTCACATCGTTTGGCATTCAATGGGGTTTCATGTTCACTAGTGTTTTGCTCTAACGGGTAATTTAAAGGGGACAAAGAATTTGAATTCAAGTTAAAAAGATTCTCCCTTGATTCAAGCTCTTTTTGAATCTTGGAGTATGTTTGATTCCTAAATTTAAAATTAAACAATTTAAAAATAATTAGAAAGATGCATTAAATTAACTTTACTAATTAGAGTAATAAAAAATAACTAAACCTTCATATGAAAATTAACCAAATAAAAATTTCATAGCTCACAAATTTACAAATAAAAAATTCAATCATAATTGATAAATGTCTAAAATAATTAAACAAATACGAAGTATTTAGCTGGATAAAGTGAAAACCAAGAACAAAAAGATTGAGATGGAGGGACGGAGGACGTACCATTGCGGCGAGCAGGCGCTCGAACTTCGGCGGCGTGGTCGTTGGGGCCGCGTCGTGGGCGTTGGGCGATGGCTGAGCGTAGTGTACCCAGCTGGCTGCGAAGCTGCGTCCGGACTCCTGAAGCTTTAGACTTTGATGTCTCCGCGTCTCTCCAGACGATTTGGGATAGAATCCTCAAATTAGTACTCATGTTTTTTGGTTGAGAAATATTGGGTGAACAATTGAACATAGGGGTTGACACGGTACGGTTCCCGGACGGTTCCGGTTCCGGAACCGCCGGTTCCGATACCGCCACCCCATGGCACCGGCACCGTGACCGGACCAGCCGGTACCGGTTCCAGTTCCCGGACCAGCCGGTTTCTGTCCTCCCTTTTTTTTTGCTTTTTTTTAAAATTTTTAAAGTATAAAATTGTAAATTCGCAATTGTTTGAGGAAAGAATGAAAAAAAATCTAAAAATGTAGTTGTTATTTAAATATTGTAAAATGAGTAATACACGAAATGAAGAACAACTACATTTAATATCCTGACGGTTCAAAAAAAGCGACGAGGTAAAGAACCGTAAAGAAACCCTCGAAGGAGCTTATATATTGCTCACCTAAAAAAAACTAATTACATATTTACATTAACATAAAAAAAGTTTATAACTTATTCTTCAGAACTCAGACTTCCATCTGTAGTTACATTCATGTAATGCTCCGAATCGAGTTGGTACGATGACTCTTGAGCTCGACGTCTTGCCAAGAGCCAATCTTGGTTGCAAACAAGTGTTTCAAGAGATTCAGCGTTAAGACAACTTCGGTAGTCGGTTAGAATGTTGCCGCCAGCACTGAATTCTCGTTCAACTGCTACGGTTGATACCGGGACGGACAACACTTGTCTTGCTAGCATTGCGAGACATGAGAACATGTGTTCGTTCCTCTTCCACCATCCGAGGACGTCAAACTCCATGTCGTCTTCATCGTAATCGCATGGCACCCCTTTGTACATAGCAAGTACGTTGTGCGAACTTACTGTTGTACCACTTGAACTCCTAGAAGGCTGAGCACGCTTCCCTTTCTTTGCAAGAAGCCCACCGACTATTCCTTTAAAACCTTTTTTTGATTTGGGGGGCGGAGGAGGTGCTGTTTCTTCTGGTACATTACCGTATAACCCTTGATATTCCTTAAACAAATTCTCAAAAAGAGTTATAGCATTATCTCTTTCATTTTTCCAGTTTATTAAAAGGGTGTAGTAATAACTATTTTCATCCAAAAAACAAGTGTAGTAATAGTCAATTAGAATTTTAAAATTTTCAATCTTAAAGCGTGGATCACAAATAATACCTATTTTATAAATATCAGGAATGTACAAATAATAAGCACACCATTTTTCTCTCATAGGACGGACATAAGGGTACAAATCTTCATCAGCCATACTTTCACGAAAACATGTTGCGATTGTAACGCACTCTTTAAAAAATGTATTCGTAGTTGGTTGGTAAACATGCAAAAGAGAGTTGCGTTATTAAAAACTTCTAATACGGCATTCAATTTTTCAACAATAACAAATTCAATAGGTGAAATGATTATACGAAGTTTAGAGCTAAAAAATTCAGCAAGTTCCTCTTTATATCTTAGAATCTGTGATATCAACTTGTAAGTACTATTCCATCTAATGTGGATATCTTTGGCAAATTGTACTTCTTTTCTACCCTTAGACTTACATAATATCTTCCAGGACCTAGAAATAAGACGAGACCCCCAAATTTTCCTAAATCCTTCTTTAATATTCGTCAAAACTCCCCCCATAGCTTCTAGTCACTGTTGAACACATAAATTTAAAACATGACAGGCACAACGTTGATGCAGAAATCTACCCATAATCGTAGTAGGGGGGGCAAATTTCTCTAAGTCTAGGAATAGCAGCAGTATTATTAGTAGCATTATCAAAACCAAATGAAAACACTTTATCAGATAAGTTGCATTCCCGCAGAATACTCTGAAGCAATAGAAAAATATTTTCAGCAGTATGCTGATCATTGAAATCACGAAATGCAAGAACACGTTTATGCATAATCCAATCACTATCTATCCAATGACAAGTAAAACCCGTATAAGACAAATTATGATAAGTTCCACCCCAAATATCAGAACAAATAGCGACACGAGAATTAAAATTGAGAAAAAAATTTGCCAAATTTATTTTTTCAATTTTATACTGGCGAATAATTTCTCGTTTAATTGTTTTTCTTGAAAAACCTCGTGCTTGAGGGTTTAATGCCTGTTGACAATAATCAATAAATCCAAGTTTTTCAGAAAACATGTATGGCAAATTTTCTTCACAAATCATTTCGGCCATTTTTTGCTTATTTTGCTCGTCGCTATAAGCAAAAAGGCCGCCCTTACCCCTGTTAGCAAACCGCAAAATTTGGGTTTGCACTTCTTGTCGTCCCTTCTTTTTCGCCGCGTATTTGGCGTACTCCATGGGATGCCTCGAGCTTAGGTGTTTTTCTGGACCACAATAACCACCGGAAACTCCCATTTTAATGACGGTTGCACAATGTTTACAAGTTCCATAAACTATGCCATCTTTTGTTTCTTTTTCAAAATGATAAACAAATAAATCAGATTTTAATTTTTTTTACCTTTGTCCGGACCTCGAGAGGTCTCCGGCTCACCTACCTCCACGTCGACGTCGTTGCTGTGCGGTGTAGGCTCCTCGTCCCCGTCTAGATTATCCAGTCCTGTTTCATCAACATCTTCGAATAGACTATCAAGAGTGGGGAGATTCGCATCCCCTCTACCAGAATAAATCTGGTCGAATTCTTCATCCGTCATACCGTCCCCGATGAATTGATCTAGGATAGTAGGAAAGGAAGAGACGGAGTGTCTTCCTCGAGAACCGCGTGAGGTCGAACCGTCGGAGGTGGCTTTAGCTTTGCCTTTCCTCAAACTTCGGTTCACGACGCCCATATCCACAGACCTTCTACCGGTTTCTCTCGACCTTTTAATATATATATTTTTTGATATAAAAAAAATAATATATTAAATTTCGAAAATTTAAAAAAAATTCAAAATTTTATATATTAAAATTTCGAAAATTTCAAAAAATAAAGAATATATTTAAAATATAAATTATATATTTTTTGATATTAAAGAAAATAAAATATTAAATTTCGAAATTTAAAATAATTTCGAAATTTATTTTATATATTAAAATATAATATATTTAAAAAAGAATATATAAAAGAGATGATAAGAATAAGATATTAAGATTGAGAGATTGAGATTTGAGATTTGAGATTTGAGATTTGAGAGATTGATAGATTGAGACATTGAGAGATGGATTGAGTGTGATTTTTTAAGGAGAAAATAGAGGTATTTATAGGATATTTAATCCCCCTCCCCCCTCCCCTGTCCCCTCCCCCCTCAAACGGCTCAAGAGTCGTTGAGGCCGGCCCCCCACTAACCTTCTGTTTTCTGCTTTTTTTTGCAGGTGCCGCCAGTAGCCGTTGGAGGAGCAAAAGGAAAAAAAATTAAAACGGCATCGGTACCGGTACCGGCGGGGCCGGTAACGAAATTTGGAAACCGGAACCGGTACTGGATGTACCGGTTCCCGGAACCGGTGATCCATCTTAGTCGACGGTGACGGTGCTCGGTACTGGCGGTACCGTTGCCGGTCACGGTACCATACCGGTACCGTGTCCACCTCTAGGTGAACATGATTACTTGGGGTACACTAACCTAAAAATAGGCACACAAAGACACTTAGGTCCCGTTTGGCATCAGCGTCATACATTAGCGTTAGCTTTTTGAAAAGGCTATCTGACGGTAGCTTTTAGCGTTAGCGTTTTCGGAATTAATCTACACCGTTAATATTTTATCCAAAACGCTAACGCTAATTGAAAACGCTCTTACCAAACAAGGCCTTAATGTCTATGCATGCACAGACATTAAATGTCTGTGTATGCCTATTTTAAGCTTAGTGTACATGTGGTAAAACCCAAGTGGTATTCCTCTACCACTCCTGTTTTTGGTTTTCTGCTCGCTCTAAAGAAACATCATAAAAAAAACTCAAAGCTTATAAAATTGATATGATATATTTTGGGATTTTCTTCTCTCTATTGATATTAGTATCACAATCGTACATTGCACGTGTCATATTTACGTTACAAAATTAAGATCATTGTTTAATGATAGAAAATGATATCTTATAGAATATAGAGATTTTATTATTTTAAGGTACAAAAGTTTTTTGCTTTACAAATTTCAAAAGACTTTTTTATAAATTACATTATTCGCACAACTTGTGATAATATTGTCTTCGTTGTTAATTGCAACATACAGATATCCATGACTAAATACCGATTTCCGTATCAATAATCCAACATGTTTCAGAGATTCAATCTGCACGATTAAAATTTCAAGAAACTTAAAGTATAAAACTATATTAAAAAAATAAAAACCTAAAAAAGTATACAATTGTACTTACTTTTCTCTGAAAGCTTTAACGTCATCAGAGTTCTCATTTAGTAAAACCTTGCTGACATTATAAAATGTTGTAATCGATACCCGTTCTAAAATATTAAAAACAACAATCATTAGACTTAAATTTTTGTGCCAGATTATTTCAAATTTATATTTAAATAATATAATAAAAATACCATTGTATAGCCTAGGTTTCACCATTTGCATCACCAAAATTGGAGGGTGTGATTTTGCTTCATTGAGACCACCGATCACCAAATCAATATGATTTACCCACAATGTAGAATTTAACTGAATGCCCCTACGCATTAAAAATTAAAAATCAAAACATTAATGTTTCACGAATTAAGATTATTAATACACAAAAATAAAACGATTCAAAGTTATCTAATAAAATTTTTATAAAATTTATTCTTAGCAAAAAGAGACTTGAATATAGAATATAATTTCTCACATATTTGTGGTCCTCCAATGTAACTTCCATCATTTGCTCAGGTGCATGTTTTACCATACGGGTTTCGGGTAGGCTATGATCAACAACTTTCCCAATTACATCTGAAAGTACCAAAATATAAGATAGAGGTATTTAAAAAACGTAATATAAATATCTGTGAGTAATTTAATTACAATAATCTAAATGATGCTTACCAATTAAAAGCACACTGTAACCAAAATGTTA